TGTGTGTGTGTGTGTGTGTGTATGCTTTCTAAGACGACAATAGTAATGGAGAGTCTGCCTGGTTGATAGTAGCGCAGACACAGCAACGGCCAGTGGGAATAGCGACTCCCCCCGTCCACCGAACCCCGTTTCCGCGACGCGCTAATCCAACTCCCTTTTGCCCGCTCAAGCCGACCATCTGCCGGAGCCCCACTCCCTTCGCCTCCTTGTCCTGCCAGCGTCAGTCCAGCTTGTCCACGTCAACGCTGTGTCAGTGAGTGTGTGTGTGTGTGTGAAAAAGAGAGAATAGTTGCCGTATGGAAGGGCATCTTTGGAAGGGAAGAGAGAGACCATTTCCGCTTTGGTACAGTTGCCTCTTAACCAGACGACGCGGGTTTCCCACTCGGACGAGGGGGCTTTCGGTGGTCGTCTAATCCGCGCCTCTAGTCCCACCCTCTCCCACCTCCCTCGCCCCGTAGCCGCCTAACGAGGTGGGGAGGTGTGTCATAGGGAGAAAGCGAGAGAGGGAGAGAGGGAGAGAGGGGGAGGAAGATGTGTGACTGGGCCTAATGACAAAGAGAGAGCATGTGAGTAAAGTTGATCCGTGGCCAGCACAAGCAACTCGGATACACTTCGCCATCTTGCGCCTACAGAAAGTGGGCAGCAGAGAGAGCATGCGTGGCATGGATGCAAGGACACATTTGGGCATAGAAAAGGAGAGGGAGAGAGAGAGAGAGAAAAGGTGTACTGCAGTTGAATGAAGCAAAATAGAGACGGACACTTGGCCGATGTACTGCCGAACCAGTGACCGCATGCACACATGCACACACGAGCGGCGCCAGAAATGGGACTCCAAAGGGGTGGAGATGGAGTGAAAAGGGAGGAACGAGTCAAGGTGCAAGTGAACAACGCAAAAGACGCCTTGAACAACAACAAATCAACAACAAAATCCACCTTCTTGTGGCGAACAAAAGAGCGGCGTCGTTACGAACGAGACTGTTGTCGCAGCGACGATCAAGTGCGGACATTTGGAGGAGAAAATGGGTGGAAAAGTGGGTGGATGCAAATGGTATTGTATGACTGAACGTGCAAGTGATTGAATGACTGAATGATTGGATGAGTAATTGACTGAATGGCTATTCCAATTGATGTTTGAATGCACAAAATAATGCACGAATTGAAGCAAAGTGGTGCCATTGAAATGCGTTGTAAGTAGTCGGTGTGATTGTGTGATTGTGTGATTGTGTGATCGTGTGTTCGTGTGTTCGTGTGACAATTGCAACCTTGTCTCGTCCCACAGCCTCAAGTGACTGGTTTGCTGGTATCTTGTGTGCCCACTTGAAAGGGACAAGCTGCCAAAATGTGCCACCATGTTGGTGTGTCAAGCACTCGGTTTGCGTGTGGACACTTGAAGAAGTGATTAGTGACTGACGCAATGCCAGTTGAGTGGATCGGCGAGTTGGCGAGTTGGCGTCCGAGGGCGTGTCGAGGTGTCGTGGAGCATGGTCTGCTGGTTCGAGGAGCGACCGGGCCGAGGAGGTGATTGAAGAGACGCGATGAACAGACACAACCAATGCCCAACCAATCCGTCTTCCCTTGCCTCTCTCTCTCTCTCTCTCTCTCTCTCTCTCTCTCGCTCGCTCGTCTCGTCCCGCCAACAGCTTGACATGCACGCCAGCAACATTGCTTTCACTCATTCTTCCCATCGCAGTTGCACTCTGCACAATTGACGCCATGTTAACCTGTCTCCATCACTTGACTCCGCCATAAATGCTCTCTCTCCACACGACTACTCGATCTGGAGCAAATGCCTTATTCGCCTGACGAAGCATGTCGACGCCTCGACGTCGCCGACCAGTGCCCTCAGCAAAACGAGTCCGCATCACATTCAATCGCATTCTCGACTGTCACAGCATCACAGAGGCCTGGCTTTTCGCCCATCGTCAACCGTGAATAAAATAAAATAAAATAAACAATACAATACAATACAATACGATACAATACAATACAATACAATACAATACAATACAATAC